TCGATCCGTTGGTCGGGAAGATCCCCTGGAGAAGGGAATGGCTACCCACTCCAGTATTCTTGCCTGGAGAATTCCATGGACAGAGGAGCCTGGTGGGATGCAGTCCCATAGCCACAAAGAGTCAGACATGACTGACTTTCTGCCATCCTCAGGGTGTGAGCCTTGTCCTTTTGTTTATAAAATGGCATCTGGAAGTCCACCCATCATATCTGTGTTCCAGGCAAGGTGGAGGAAAAGATGAAGGGAAAGGGGAAAACAGACAACTTCTGTTTATATCTCACTGGGCACCACATATGCAAGGAATCCTGGGAAATATTTTATAGCTGAGTACAGTGATTCACCGAATAATGAAGGTGTACTCTGTTTTTGAGAAAGAAATGAATGTTGAACAGGCAACTACTGGTCTCTGCACAGAGACCCATGTCCCCATCTTCTTTTTACATAACACCTAGATGGTGCTCAATAACCACTGGTGGACAGTTTAATGCAGAGAAATAGAGAGTGGAAAAAGATGATTTAGAAAACTGATAAATGAAAAACTGAAGAGATAATAGCCACATGCGATTTCTAATTTATAAGTATTTTTACAAAAGCAAAATACGCACTGTCTTCTCCCTAAAAAAAACCCTGCTGTTATTCAGGCATCCTATATGGAATGCTTGAAAAATGAACATCAAGATTAAGAAAATGAGGCCAAGTCATTTCAAATTATTTTGAGTAGGTTCATGGTTGTTTCTTTCAGTCTTTATTCTTTGCATACATTTTATTTCCATTTACAAAATTGGAATCATAAAATGTTCTGTTTTGCAAAAGGACTCATTGCAAACCATCACTTCTGACAAAATGACCAGTACTCAGGCATATCTTATGAGCACTTAGAGAAAAAGGGTAGATTATATTTCCAAAAGAAATTAGTGCTATGCATTTCCGCAACTGTCTTTTGAGTTTCTCATTTTGACTTGTAAAATAATTCAAATGCTTTAAAGAAAAAAATCTATGGTAATTACTGGAAGTGTTTCACTAGCCCCCTGATGGACATCCAGAGAGGGTCTTGGTTTGAGATTAAAAGCACATTTTGTAAGTTAAAATTTTGATATGTCGTTTCAAATTTAGAAGTTTGAATGAATGATACATGGAACACCTGTAAACCCTATACACAGCATTACTAGTTGTTTATAATTTGGCCCATTTGTTTTATCATTCTCTCTCTCTTCCCCCACCCCTCCCCCTCTCTTTTTCTATAGTATGTAGGTATGATTTTTTTCCCAGAAACTTTGTGAGTAAATTAGAGATATCATATGTCAAGAGACCCCTAAGTATTTCAGAATATTTTCTGAAAAAAAAAAATTATTTTCTCTTATATAACCACAACAAAATGATCAGAACAAGAAGTCAACACTGATACAATACTGTTATATAATATATGATCCAATAGGCGAATTCCATTAATTGTCCCAATAACATCCTTCACGTGTGCATGCTCAGTCACTTGCATGCTCAATCACTTCAGCCGTGTCCAACCCTATGGAATGTAGCCTACCAGGCTTCTCTGTCCATGGGGATTTTCCAGGTAAGAATACTGGAGTGGGTTGTCATGCCCTCCTTCAGGGGATCTTTCCGACCCAGGGATTGAATCTGCATCTGTTATGTCCCCTGCATTGGCAGGCGGGTTCTTTACCACTAGCACCACCTGGGAAGCCTTTAACATCTTTTATAGCTATTTTATTTTCCCAGGCCAGCATCCATTCTTAGACAATGTATTGCATTTGGTTGTCATGCCTCTTTAATCTGGAACATCCATCGTTCCTTCTATTTTCTATTTATTTGTCTTTGGCTATGCTGGGTCTTCACTGCTACATGCAGGCTTTCTCTGGCTGTGGCGTGTGGGAGCCTCTCTGCAGTTGTGGTGCACGGGCTTCTCATTGAGGTGGCTCCTCTTGTGGAGCATGGGCTGTAGGGCGCTCCAGCTTCAACAGTTGTGGTGTGTGGGCTCTAGAGCATATAGTTGTGGTGCATGGGTTTAGTTGCTCTGCGGCATGTGGAATCTGCCCAGACCAGGAATCAAACCCGTGTCCCCTGCATTGGCAGCTGGATTCTTAACCACTGGACCACCAGGGAAGTTCCCTTCTATTTTCATTAGTTGCCATTTTACTGTGAGGACAGGCTTCTCTCCTAAAAGAGATTTTCTGATGCTGTGTGGCTATATATTTCTCTCTTTTCCCTTCCAGTCTAATTGAGTTATAATTTACATATAGCACTGTATACATGTAAGGTATACAGCATGATGATTTGACTTACATACATCATGAAATGATACCACAATAAGTTTAATGAACATCCATTATATCGTATAGATACAGCTTTAAAAAATAGAAAAAAAAGCTTTTTTCTTGTGGTGAGAACTCTTAGGATTTACTCTAACAGCTTTCATTTATAATGTACAGCTGTGTTAATTATACTTACCATGTTGTAATTACATGTGTAGTACTTATTTGTCTTGTAACTGGAAGTTTGTATTTTTTAACTACTTTCATCCAGTCTTCCTCATCCCATCCCCATCTCTGATAACCACAAATCTGATCTCTTTTTCTTTGAGTTTTTGGTCTGTTTCTTTTTGAAGTATAATCATCCTAAAACACTTAGTTCCTGGTATGCAACATAGTGATTCAATATTTCTATACATTTCAAACTGATCACTATGATAAGTCTAGTTTTCATCTGTCACCATACAAAGGTATTACATAATTATTGACTTTATTCCCCATACTGAACATTTCATATCTGTGACTCATTTATTTTTAACTGCAAGTTTGCACCTCCCAGTCTCCTATTTCTCTCTTCCCCTCACCCCTCTGGCTACCACCTATTTGTTCTCTGTATATATGATTCTGTTTCTGTTATATTATGTTTGTTCATTTGTTTTTTAGATTCTACGTGTAAGTGAAATCTACAGTGTTTGTCTTTCTCTGTCTGACTTAGCATTTTTTTTCTCTGCATGACTTAGTATTTCACTTAGCATAATACCCTCTAGGTCTATCCATGTTGCAAGATTTCATTCCTTTCTGTCATTAAGTAATATTCCATTGCACATATATGCTACATTTTTATCCATTCATCTATTGATGGTCACTTAGGTTGTTTCCAAATCTTAACTATTGAAAATAATGCTATAATGAACATAGGGGTGCACATATCTTTCCAAATTAGTGTTTTCATTTTCTTCTCATAAATACACAGGAGTGGAATTACTGGATCCTATGGTAGTTCTGGAGGCTGTATGCTTCTGAGACTTTGTCTTAGTCTGCTAGGGCTGTTATCATCAGATGTCATGGACTGGGTGGCTCAAACAACAAAAATTTATTTCTCAAAGTTGTGAAGGCTGACAAGTCCAAGATCACAGTGCCAGCCAATTCAGTTGTTGATGAGAGGTCATTTCATGGCTTCAGTCATCCACCTTATCGCTGTATCCTCATGAGGTGTAGACAGTGCACTGACGTCTCTCACTCTATTTATAAGGGCGTTAATTCCACCATGGAGTCTCCACCCTCATGATGGTAGTGGTTAGGTTGCTAAGTCGTGTCCGACTCTTGCGACCCCATGGACTGGAGCCCACCAGGCTCCTCTGTCCATGGGATTCTCCAGGCAAGAATACTGGAGTGGGTTGTCATTTCCTTCTCCAGGCCACCCTCATGATTTCATCTAAAAGTAATTACCTTCCAAAGGCCCCAGCTCCTAACACCATCACATTGGGAGGTTAGGGCTTAGGTAAATAAATTTAGGGGGGACACAAATGTTCAGTCCATAATAGGCTTCATAAAGAAAAAAATATATCCCCATTGTAAGAAGATAGTGCCTCTCTTGGACTAGGTAACTGTGATAGTCAAAGTTAAAGCCCATGCCTGGTGAAAATGATTCCTTACTCTATTCTCTATAACATAACCCTTTAATTTTATTCTTATTTCTACTGTCAAATGCTTTGGGAATTTGGTCACTCTCCTTTTGTTTAGCACTGAAGTCTGTTTCTCACTTGTTGCTATTAGACAAATCTGGATTTAAATTCTGTATTTCCAGTTGTGTGTGTGACATGAAATACCTTCTTTGGAATTCAGTCTGTTTGCCTGTAAAATAGGCATGACTTAGGCCTATTTCAAAAGTGTTGTTGGGAGTGGGAGGAATAAATGCGATAATGTATGTAAAGGTATGTAGCATGGTGCCTGATATAGGAAAGTAGTACCTGTCTTTAATTTAAAATTCCAATTTTTAGTGACCCAGTTTTGCAAGTTTCTTCACTTTTAGGAGGTTAGATGCTTGATTTGCACAGAGAAGTTAGATGAGCTTCTTAGATACGAAGTCTGCATCAAAAAGAGAAAGGTTTAGAGGTATCTATCAAGTTTTAGATCATTCATGTGGTTCTATCAGTTTTTTCCCATCTTCCTCTTTCTTTCCTTTCCTTTATCACATACTGAATGGCGTTTGCTATGTGCAGTCACCATTGTAGGCGCTAGAGATGGAGCAGCAAATACAATTTCCTGAGCTGACATCAATTATTTTCCATCAAAGAAGACAGAGGATAAATATACAAACAGGTTTTTTGATAGTGTATGATAAGTGCTATGAAAATAAAATAAAGCCAGGAAGGGAAATAAGGATTGTGAGAGGGGTTGCTATTCTATTAGATGGTCAGAGAAGACTTCACCGGTCCGGGGACAAAGAGACATGAAGGAGATGCCAGAGCTGGTCATTAGAGTGAGTGAAGCAGAGCATTCCAGGCAGAGGAGATCTTTCAAAGAGAAGAAGTCTAAGGTAGAGGATGACTTCCCGATGGTTCAGCCAAGGGAAGCAGGAAGGAAACTAAGGCAGTTCTGTGGGGCACCGCAGCACGCCACCTCCCTCCTCCAAGTGTGTATATAGGCACGAGCAGAATGGCCGGCTGGAGCTGAGGGCTCATGGCAGCTGTAAAGGCCACACCTCAGACCTCTCTCCAAGAGTGTGCTGGGACTTCCCTGGTGGTCTAGTGGTTTAAGACTCTGCACTGCCAATACAGCGAACCCAGGTTCAATCCCTGGTCAGGGAGCTAGATCCCACAGGTCACAGCAAAGAGTTCCCCTGCCACAACCAAGACTCTGCATTCCTCAACAAGAATTGAAGATCCTGTGTGCCTGCCACAACTAAGACCTGGTGCAGCCAAATAAATAAATATATATATATATTTTAAAGACATCTTTTTTTAAAAAAAGGAAAAAGAAACATGTTTCAAGGAGCACAGAGAGCTGACAGCCTCCAGCTGTAGCACCTTCTAGATCCACCCTAGCATCCAAGGTGCAACATGTTTTCCCACTGAGTTGCCAGCCAGTGACTGAGCTTGGTAAAGATGGGTGTGACCACGGCCGTGCAGTATGGGACTCTTTGAAGGGCAATCCTGGTTCCAGGGCTCCCTGTTAGGCTACCTGTGACATTTCCAGAGCTAAACCACAGTCTGAGGCTCTACCTACCAAATCACCTTTCCTTTGCACCAGGATCAGCCCTGCATCCTGGTTTAAAGTTTTTCCCAGCTCACTTCTACCCCTCCTCCTTTTACCTTCCCCTGACATTACCCCCCAACAAATTGCTTTTACTTCTGGATTTTAAAAAGTGATTACAGATTTTTCTATTAAATGATAGTTTTAGTTATATAGAATTATTTTTTGTTGACCAATCATAATACAATGATATTAAATGACTAATAGTTACATAATCACAATAGAAAAAGATGTTTATCGGTTTCATAATCAATAGACAGATAAAAAATAAAAGATAATTACAGTTGCAAGCCATAATGGAAACATGATTAACCTAACAATATAAATAATTACATACAATTTGGGGGATTAAGTAGAGCGATGTGGTAAATGGAAGTGCATATATGCACATTTTCATTGGCCCAGCCAGCCTGTGTGTCTTGCTGGTGCATTGAATCCATTTATATTTAATGTAATTATTGATATTTATGATCTTATTACTATTTTCTTAGGTATTTTGGGTTTATTTTGGGTAGGTCTTTTCCTTCTCTTGTGTTTCCTGCCTAGAGAAGTTCTTTTAGCATTTATTGTAAAGCTGGTTTGATAGTACTGAATTCTCTGAACTTTTGCTTGTCTGGAAAGCTTTTGATTTCCCTGTCAAATCTGAAGGGGAGTCTTGCTGGGTAGAGTATTCTTGATTATAGGTTCTTCCCTTTCATCACTTTAAATATATCATGCCATTCTTTTCTTAAATTCTTTATTGCCTTTTTTCGTGTGTGTGAATTAAGTTTTATTTGGGGCAAAAATAGGACTGCAACCCAGGAGACAGCACCTCAGATTAACTCTGAGAGACCACTCCAAAGAGACAGGGGAAGGTCAGTATATATGTGATTTTGGTGAGAGGGAATATATGCAATCAAGCACAAAGTTTCCCAATAAATTGCTTTTACTTCTAACCCCATCCTCATGTCTGTCTGCTTTCTAGAGAATCCAGACCTACAGAGGTAGAACAAAAATGCCCATGAGGAAATTTTGCAATAGCTCCACTCCCTACATAAGTCAGGTGCAGCATCATGGAGATGAGGAAAGAGTACAGTCCATGGTGGTGTCAAGGGATAACCAAAGTTTCCAGATAGTTGTCATCAGCCCTACCCAAAGCCGTCTTAAATAGTGTACAGTCCAAGCACAACTCTCCACTCTTTAAAATGCAAATGGTTTCAAAGCAATTCCTGTAGACACTCCCTTTAGTCAGACTGCTGTCCCTAAGCATTTCTTATATAGAAATTCTGGAGTTACCAATAGACAAGTTCCAAACTCTTAACCCACTTGGGAGTAATGAGGCTCCTACTGCTCCGTTACAATACTAGAATCCAAAGAGGCAGAATACATTCAGAGAGGAGGAAGGAGGCACTCCTTTCCATTGCTGGAAATCAAACCATAGGAGTCTGACATTTCCTAGGCCTCCAGCTAAGAAGAGCATCTCTGTCTTTCACCCTCGGCTGTCGTCAGAGGCCACCATTTGGGTCTAGCTCATTGTACTCCAATGACATTCCAACCAGAAACCATTCTCAGAGTTGAGTGAATCATACTGTAATCACGGAGCTGAGTTTGCAGTTTCGGGCTCAATCAGGCAATGAATCCAAAGATTTTCTGGGAAATCTCCAAAATCCCTCAGGAAAGCAAACACTCACTGGGAAAGAAATGACTCTGGGCTGGGGTCACATGGAGGGCAGGTAAAAAGAGTAAATCCCCTTTATGTGCCAGGTACTGCCCTGTGTTTGTATGTCTAGAGCCACCCTGTGATGTCAGAATCATACTTTAAGCTTAGAAAAATGTGGTGTGGGAGGTTAAGTGGTTTTTCCAAGATCATAGTGCTTAGCAAATATCAAAGCTAGAATTTCAAAGCAGGTCTTCCAACTCCAAATATTGTAATTTTTTTCCCATGATTTTACTACTGACTAACTGTTCTCTTGCCTTTATAAATATGCCTCTATTAATATTAATAACAGGGGATTCGCTGGTGGTCCAATAGTTAGGACTCTGCATTTCCATTGCAGGGGGTATAGGTTTGATCCCTGGTTGGAAACTAAGATCGTGCAAGCCAAGCAGTGTGGCCAAGAAAAGAAAAAAGTTTAATCTTGTAGACACGTCTCTTGGCTTAGTTGCTTTAATAAAATCATGTCAACTTTCAGTCAGACCATGGTGGGGAAGCACTGTATGATATGCTGTTTGTTTGTTTTATTTGAATATTTTGGCTATACCACAAGACATGTGTGATCTTATTCTCAGACCAGGGATCAAACTTGCACCCCTTGCGTTGATAGCATGGAATCTTAACCATCAGACTACCAGGGAAGTCCTAGGAAGCACTGTAATGAGCATTTGCTAGTTTGTGACATATCAATGTCTATTTTCCTCTTCTTTTAGTAAAGAAGAGGAAAGTGGATGCTGGTAAAGAGTATTCTAATTTGGTAAAGAGTATTCTAATTCCTCTCTGGTGAACTTCCCCTCCCTCACTGTAGTCCATGAGCTTTGGTTGGACTTTTAACTCTGGCTTTAAGAATGGAGCCTATGACTCCTCCTGAAACTATGAGTGTACCTATTCCCCTGGCTACTTCTACTGATTCATTTGTAGTCAGGACCAACTAGTCTTTTGCCAAAGCTACTGGGAGAAAAGCAAGCACTTGCTCCCAGTTCATCTGAACCTGGGGGAGACTAGACTGGAGCTGCTGGAGCTGTAATGCTGCTGTTATTGAAGAGTCTGTCCAAGGATGGTGCTCACATAGCACAAGCAGAGCCAGGAAATGAATGGGGAGAGATGGGGTTTTGTTGTCATTTCCCCCCCACTGGATCAGGCCATTCTTAAAGCCAAAACTGCCCCCGATATCTGTCAGTTCTGTGATGCAACAAATTCTGTTTATATTTAAGCTAGTATAGGCTATATTTTCTGCTAGTTTCAATTGAAAGAGGTGTCCCTGATAAAACAGACTTCCTCAGCTAAATTCAACCACTGCTAAAGTCAGTAAGGACTCATAACCCAATTAAAAATGGGCAAAAGGCTTGAATAGATGCTACAGACTAAATGTTTATGTCCCCTTTAAATTCATATGTCGATACCTATCCCCCCATGTAGTGGTATTAGGAGGTGGGGTCTCTGAGAGGTGATTAGGTTATGTCAGCAAGCCCTCATGACTGGAATTAGCGTCCTTGTAGAAGAAAGCCCGGGGAGGTCCCTTTCCCCTTCTGCCATGTAAGAACACTTGAAAAGACTGCCTTCTCTGAACCAGGAATTATGCTCTCATCAGACACCAGATCTGCCTGTGCCCTGATCTTGAATCTCCCAATTTCCTTAATTATGAGAAATAAGCTTCTGTTGTTTATAAACTACTCTGTCTATGGTATTCTGTTATAACATTCTGAATTGATGAAGACAATAGACATTTCTCCAAAGCAAGTATAACAAATGACCAATAAGCTCTTGAAAAGATCCTCAGTGTCATTAGTCATTAGGGAAATGCAAACCAAAGCCACAGTAAGATACAACTTCACAACTCCTAGGGTGGCTTCAATCAAAACCATAGGCAGTATCAACTGTTGACAAAAATGTGGAGAAGTTGAAACTTGTGTACATTGCCAGTGGGGATGTAAAATGATGCAGCCCTTTTGGAAAATACTCTGCAGTTTCTAAAATAATTAAACATTAAGTTACCATGTGACCAGCAATTTGACTTCTTATATACCCCAAAGAAATGAAAGGATATGTCTACAAAAAGACTTGAATGAGAATGTTCATAACAATTGTACTCATGATAGCTTAACAAATGGTAAACAATTCAAATACCTATTAACAGGAAATAGATAATCATGCTGTGGTGTAATCATACAAAGGAATCAGTTCAGTTCAGTCACTCAGTCATGTCTGACTCTGAAACCCCATGGACTACAGCACGCCAGGCCTCCCTGTCCATCACCAACTCCTGGAGTTTACTCAAACTCATGTCCATTGAGTCAGTGATGACATCCAACCATCTCATCCTCTGTCGTCCCCTTCTCCTCCCGCCTTCAATCTTTCCCAGCATCAGGGTCTTTTCCAGTGAGTCAGTTCTTCTCATCAGGTGGCCAAAGTATTGGAGTTTCAGCTTCAGCATGAGTCCTTCCAATGAATATTCAGGACTGATTTCCTTTCGGATGGACTGATTGGATCTCCTTGCAGTCCAAGGGACTCTCAAGAGTCTTCTCCAACACTACAGTTCAAAAGCATCAATTCTTTGGCACTCAGCTTTCTTTATAGTCCAACTCTCACATTCATACATGACTACTGGAAAAACCATAGCTTTGACTAGACAGACCTTTGTTGTCAAAGTAATGTCTCTGCTTTTTAATAACTATTCAGCAATAAAAGGAATGAGATACTGATACATGCAAAAACAGGAATGGATCTAGAAGTACACTGAATGAAAGCAACCAGACCTAAAATAATATGCTATGTGCTTTGATCCATTTATATGAAATCCAAGAACAGGCAAAACTAACCCATGGTGACAGAAGTCAGAAAGTGAGAAGGAAATGGTATTTA